TTTATTTTTGCATTCAATCTAACTGAATTGTTTTTTTCTTTTTTTTTCCTTTCCATTTTGACGGTAAAATTGACTGAAACTACACACAAATCCAACCCCAATATTGACCGTCAACATATGCCCGATAATGGATGAATTTGCCACAGCAAATGTTTGTTGGGAAAATAAGCTACATTGACATTTACTATAACTTAAGTGAAAAGTGAAAATATACTTATGACCCCTTAAAAATCAACTTCGATGGCTGCAGAAGTCCAGGAAAAATGAACGAAAAAGTGTATTCATTTGCTGACTGCCCAAAAATTGCGACCATTTCACAGAATAAAAAGACTTCGGTGTAATCTTTGAGTTTCGTATAAATTTTAATATGCACACACATTTTTTTATTTTACTTCTGAATCATTATTAAAATATTTTAACGTTCGTTCGACAATAATAATATTTACATTATAAAGAATATATTAAATTATCAATTCATAAAAAAGTGGTTTTCTCCTCTTATTTTGATTTGAGTTTTTTTGGGTTTACCATTTCATCCGTGTTTGATGATGTTGCAGGATTGTTTTTGTCCGCTTGGTTTGCCTTAGTTGGCGGTTTCTTTGTTATTTTTTTTGATTCTATGGCACAAAAATCCAGTGCTTTTTGAAATTCATCGTTGTTTGATTTGCCAGTCATGTGCTTAGTAGCGGCACCATTAGCACATAAACGATAACATTCAATCAACAATTTCGAATAAGCATTAATGTGCATGGATTCAATATAATCTGAATTCAAAATTCCATACAACTCATAAATTTTCATTAAGAAGTTAAGAAAAGACTTTGATTTGGCTGTATTTTGACTAAATTGACGCAAATGACTGTTAGCAATTCGAATGAAATTCATAAAAATGACCGTGTACAAACGTTGCTTTTGATGTAATTTTAGATGCAAACATGCACGATTTCTGGTAACTTTATTAAATTGAAGAACAAGTACCAATTGTGAGTACCAATTCGGTGTGATTTCAAGGTATTTGTTCAAAAGGTTCAAACACTTTTCCATGTATTTGTTGAATGATCCTAAATTATGAACGGCTTTCAATTGCATGGACTCCTTTACCTGTACGTGCATAAAAAGGGGCGTTTAGAATCCATGTTATAAATTATCTTTTGTATGGTATTCACTTTGAATAGATTACGACTTCGATGAATGTCAAAGAGGCTCATTTTCTTATCTTGTTCGTTGCTTTTACGCGGTAATTGTAATAACAATGATCGGCACTTCAATTCATTGCTTTGTTTGAAACTGATTTGGACCAAATAATACCTAGAGTTGACCAGAAGAAAAGAATGGAAATTAATCAATAAGTAATGGAACAGAATGGAAAAAGAAATTATAAAATTATCATACGTAGCCTTGTAGTAGTTTGCATTTAATTCCAAATACCTAAGGGGAGAAAAGAATAGAATTAATTTTAGGTAAAATGGTTTTGGTGTATAAGAATGGGAAATTGGCTGACAAAAATGGGGAATTGACCCCCAAAAAATAGGGAAATGGCTGTCAAAAATGGTGCGTTTGGTTGTGACAAATCGGGAATTGGCTGTCAGAAATAGGAAAATTTGGCTGTCAAAAATTGGGAATTGGCTGTCAAAAATGTGTAAAATTTTCTTGAAAGTAAGAAAAAGTAATATTATTCGATGCAATTTGATACTTTAATTACATTATCTTTCTTATGGTTTTTTGTCTTTTCTTCATTTCGGCTATCAATGAAATTCAATTATTCTTAGTTCCATCTGCTCGCCGGTTAATATCAGATGGCGTTTATATAATCTATCCTTATTGTGTTTATCTCTCGTATTTTTATCGACCCCGTTTGATTTTTCAAAATTTACCCCCGCACAGAGAGAAAAAATGTGGTAATTTTAATTCAATTTTGGTAGATTTAATATAAAATCAACCAACATCGAATCCGTTCCGTTCCGTTTCCGCGGAGTCTCCGTTCCATTTCCGTAGCGAGAGTCGAGCGCTATCCATATAAATACATTGTGACGTCACACATCTTACACAGAAACGACATCTTTGTAAAACAGGCTAACTACAATGTAAACGTATAGCGAGAGGAGAAGGGAGTAAATAAAAAGGGGAAACAGATACGTTTGATTTACATTGTGGTTAGTCGGTTATTAATAGATGGCGTTTATATAGTGTGCCCTTATTGCGCTTGACTCTCGTTCCGTAGAAGTTCCACAAAAGATCCGTTGAAATTCCGTGGAAGTTCCGTTGAAATTCCGTAGAAGTTCCATAGAAATTCCGTGGACATTCCGTAGAAGTTCTGTAGGAATTGTAGCTGTACACATGGCTCACACTGCGTTTGGCTTTTAATTTTTTTTAAACAATTTATTTACTCACGGAAATACGGAACTTGAACTCAAAACCAAACGACGATATTGAAGCAAAGACGAAAGGCTAAACGTTGTGAGCTGTACACATGGCTTACACTGCGTTTGGCTTTTAATTTTTTTTAAACAAATTTTTTACTCACGGAAATACGGAACTTGAAATCAAAACCAAACGACGATATTGAAGCAAGACAAATGCGGCATAATAA